AGGAGAGATTCACACTGTATCAATTGGTTCTTGCACCTTTCACTGACAGTGAGGATGGTGCAGGAATCACAGGTGCTGAGTTATCAGCTTGAAGAACTGACACAGAAGAACAGACCCATACTCCACCAGTCAGGACATCTTGTTCCTCTTTGTGTTGTTACTAGTTTTCCAATTCTTTTCCACTGGAGATTCCAGTGGTCACAAAACACTGAATCCAATCCCAAGTGCATGCCCTGCAGAGACCTAGGCACACACATGCTGTTATATCCCAGTGACTCTGGACCCAAAACACAGGATAAGTTAGACATCAGGACAGTGAGACCCTGGGAGTTCATTAGATTAGCTGCTGTTTTTACTGAGGGACAGTAAGGGAAATTGAAATCGGAGACTTTCAGTCTTCTCATATTAATCAAGAGTAAGGTGTGTGTGTTTGTGTGTGTGATACACACGAAAAATAACCACTACTTAAAAACTCTTTTCTAATAGGAAATGCAGAAAACATAATGTTCACAGCAATTTTATTTGTCCTTAAATATAGTTGCATTTTTTTAAAAAAGCTTTTAAATACGTTAAATGGTTTCAAGGGGGAAAAAAGCAACCCATGCTGATACATTTTTTATGGTCCAAAATTATGTGTAGTTTTCATTTGTAATACATTTTTCATCTCTATGGGAGAATATTTTCAAGTAACAATCCTATTTCCTTTCTCTCTATACAGATAAGGGAGCTCTGGTGGCCTTAGTGACAAGAAGCTGTGCTGCAATCCCGAAGGTGGTTCAAATCCACCAGCTGCTCTGTGGGAGGATAGGCCATCTCCTCCTGTGTGATTAACTGACTCTGAAAACCCGCCGGAGGGTCAGCTATGGGTCAGCTCCGACTCGACGGTGCACAACACCTACAACAATATAGAAATCCTGTAGAATAGTCCTCTCAGTATTGAGGGGAGGATGTATACTAGTGGCTGCTCTTTTTACACACACAGACACACACGTGTGCATGCATGTGCAGGAAGACCTTGTTTTCGGAAAGGGATTTTATTTTCCATCAAATTCTGTTTCCTTAGAAAGGTGAGAGAGCGAGGTGAGAAGCCTGTTTCCTTTCCTATGCCCATAGGAGTGGTTGGCCTGGTTGGCCAGGTTTTGACCACCCAGTGCCAGCCCCAGCTGTCCCATAGGTGATTGGTGAGAGCATGGCTACTGTGAGGGCACTTCAGAGATGTCACTGCACAAAGAAGGCCAGGAAGTATTACTTGTCATGCCCTACTTAAGAGGAATTGAGCTTTTCTTCACGGTTCCATAGAAACTATTTTGTAGGTACAATTTGAATATAGTTAAACATCAGCAGATAAACCCCCCAACAGAGAGGTGTTGTCGCTGTGCTTTGAAGAACTTTTCAGATGGGTACAGGGCAGGTCTCTGATTAAAGGCTTGGCCAGCCCTACACACTGGTTGGTTGGTACAGGTACAGGCAGAGGCATGACAGGGGCATACAGGGACCTAACACTGCCATGGTTGAGCAGGGGTGAAGCAGGGGACAAACACTGACCTGGTGCCCACACTGGACATAGAGGTGCAGCCCAGCGACAAAGAACTGGCCAACACTGGTGGGGGTGTCTGACCACAGGCGCCATGCCTGCAGAGTCCTTGTCAGACCACACTCTACTGCAGTCCCATCCACACAGGCTGGGGCTGCACCTCCGCTCACCTGGGGGACAGGACTGAACAGGCTGCACCTCCGCTCACCTGGTGGGGCCAAACAGCCAGGGGTTGGAAAACACTTGCTTTTTTAGCCCGCTAATTAGTTTCAAGTGTTAATGGCTCCTGTAATGAACTCAGAATAGAAAAGTATTTAAATAAGTTTTTAGGGACTGCTGGCACTTAGGATTCATTGAGACACAGCTGAAGATGTGGAAGGAAGGAGTAAGTCCCGGCTTTGCGTCAGTTTTGCATCTGGAACTATTTTGAAATACAGAAGTGAATCCTCCGAGTTCTCCTGAATGTTCATTTCCCTTTAAACAGTTCTGCAGATGAGGATGCCTTGTCCTGTTTTCCTACTTTGTAAGAAATAACATTAAATTTGCCTCTCTGATTTAGTTGGTTTATAGCTGGTCGTTTCTGTGAGGCTTCTGGCTGCTAGAAGGGTGGCCAGGTATGGTTCAGCGGTGAGTTACCCCTCCATTTCTCCTTCAGAACTACCAGAACCTCCCTGGCAACAAACATGGTGGCTTCCATCCCACACTGGTGGAAAAGGAAGGGGCATGGATTGCAGACCTTAGATTTGAGGAACTATGAATGATTTAGTTTTTCTTATCAGAAGTTATCCATGAGGCAAAGCCCACATAGGAAGGAAGTGCCGTGTGCTGGCATCCGTTGCCCCACGTCTGCCCTTTTGTACAGCTCTGGGAAGTAGTTCTCTGGGCTTCCTCTCCTACCTGCCCTTCACCCACTGAGCCTGCTCACCTGAGGAGACTCCACTGAGTGCCAGCCACTGAGGTCAGCCATACTGGTCACTCATGTCCCATAAAGGCATCCACATTCACACGCTTGGTCTTGCATGCATCTTCCACACACAGGTGGCTGTGTTCTCTCCTTTTAGGAAGAAAGTGAACAATTAGAATGTCAAGACTGAGTGATCCCTGTGACTTACTGCTTCCCTACTCTGTGCTCATGGCACATGGGAACCTCCTGGAGAAGCCCAGGCAGCACCCACTGACCTCCCCTCTCACTTGACCATGAGCAGAATCAAGGCGCACTATTCAGCAGTCGTGTTACATCCTGCGTTTTATTCAATTCCATGTGACAAAAATAAGAACCTAGACTAAGACATCCATTTCAATCAGTAGGTGTTTCAAGCCACGAGATTTAATAATAAAAAATATTCGATGTAGGCAACAATCCGGCCGTCAGGGAGGTGCGGCCACGTGGTACTGCAGTATAAAAATATGTCTCTCCCCATGTGGACGGGCCCCTGACGCGAGCCATCTTATGTACAACACTTTACAATTCTCTTGTTCGGCTATATACACATCCTCCGGCAGGAAGAGGTAACACCACATGGTACCAAAGACTAATCAGAAAATTCACACCGGAAAGGATGCAGATAAATAACAGAAACATTCCACCGCTGAAATCCAGCCACCGGAAGCTACTTCCACTGCCTCGTTCCAGTGTGTGAAATGCCCCAGAGCTCACTCAGTGACCAGATGCACAAGTAGGGCGCCAGGTCTCGCACCACAGGCTAAAGCTACCTTTCGGTGTGCAATTTGATGGCACAATCTGCTAGCACGTCTCTGGAAGTCTTGTTTTGCTCAATCACATGATGGAAGAACAGCCTTGAGGAAGTCCCACAGTGGCCACCTTAGAGACGGTCCTGGTGTTAGCCAGTCCTCTGCGCAGGGCTGCCAGCCTGCAACCAGCCTCTGCCAGGCCCGGCGAGGCCTTTGGAAGGAATCTCCCCAGGTGGGATTCCACCACACTCACAAAGCACAGAAATGAGGTAGAACACAGAACACTGCCTTGTCAAGTTTTGATTTCACCCAGCCCTCCAGTGCCCTGGCTCAAGGGTGAGCGACTGGCCCCTGCCCTTCCTGGGAGCAGCTTTTGGTTGGCAGTGGACACTGTGCTTGGTTTTCATCTGAGAAGGTAACAGATCTGAGAAAGAAGTCAGGGTCTCGGAAATACCAGGCTGTGGCTCCTTCACCATCACCGTGCACCCAGGCAGAGGGCAGCACAGTGACACTCAAACAGTCTGCTGCTTCTTGATTTCCAGCTTGACGGATGTTACAGTCCTAAGACTCGTTTGTCAGGGCTCAGTGAAGAGTGGTCACAGTTTTTAAACGGGCTCTGTAGAAAATGAAATGAATCTCTTTCACTTAGGAAGTCGTAGATCTTTGCAGAGGAACTGGCCGGGCCTGGTCTCTGATTAAGGAGCACAAAGTTCGCATTGTGATTGCTCTTAAGACAAGAAACTAACAGTTTTATTATTTTTCCCATTTTCCTTACACTGAAGTACTATTTATAAAATATTTTATATCTTTTTTAAAATTTTCAAATTATAGACAAATCTCCCTAATATAAAATACTAAAAGTGCAACAGTATAAATTAAGAGTTTGCAACCACATCATACAAACATTACCTTTTTATTGTACAGCTTTGATAGCATGAAAGACTAACTCACAACTGTTAATAATGTTGTGAATAATTTATGGTGACATTTGTCTATAACTTGTTTCCAAATCATTTCATAGAACTGTCCACATAGCAGCTACAAACATTTAAATTAAAAAAAAAAAAGTCTGTTCCCAGCAGGGACAGGGGCCTGCACGTGAGAAGGTCTCTTACCAACAGGGACAGGGACTTGCACGTGAACAGCATGCTATCTCTCCCAAGAAAACATCACAATTTTCCCCGCATTGAAATAATCCACTTATTTATAGAACAAATCTTGCTTAAAAAAAAAATTGTCACATAGCCAGATGTATTCTGCAAAATACAAAAGCTTCTTTTAAGGTTGGGGCTACTGTAGTGTGTGTTACCCGCATAATCTTAACATAAATACTACAGACGAGGGTATGTAACCATACATAGCATGGGGCACTAAACCACTGCTTCGCTGACGTTAGGCTTCTAAGAGAGTTCAAGTTCCTAACTAGAGAACAAAACCGTCAAATACCTTTGAGTGGACACCACTGGGAAGCCCCCTTCTCCCACTCTGGGGACCGCTAAGTTTTGGAAGAAGTGAAGGGGCTTTGACCTAAACCTCAGTCCTGACAGGGCCTCCCATGGTGCTTCTGGCCTAACATATTAAAAGGTTTATGTTCTTGGGGACAGTCAGACTCACTGTGGAGGAAGGAGCTGTGGCTCTTCTGGCTCAAGGCCCCAGGGCTCCAAGCCCGCATCTCTTGTGAGTGGAGGGAGTGAAAGAGAGCCAAGGCCTTCGTGGCCATGGGACTCACCCTCATGTGTCCAATGTGCACGCAGACAGAGTGGATACTGAGCTGCTAGTTTATCCCAATCTCCTTGTTGTCCTCAATGAACCTTGTGAACGGACGGCCACTCCCCGGGTCCGAGCTTGCCTTGTCCAAGCCCACAGCCGGGGGGCTGCTGCCAGTGCGAGCCTTGTCCATCCCACTCAGGCTGCCCAGCGGGGGAATGGTGCTACCCCCGAGGCCAACTGGGAGCTGGGGGATACCCCCATTCTGTATGACAGAGATCTCGTTGTTTTTGATGGCCAGACCGTTGGTGATGGCTGCAGCATACTGGTTCCAAAAGCTTGGGTCCACGTTCATGGCTCGAGCTGCCAAATCCTTCTGGAACATCTCAGAAAACTTCAGGGCATCACCCCCCAACAGAGCCATGGGGTTCTCCACAGAGAGCCGGCGGCCTCGTCGGGCGGGGGCATTGTTCCACATGTGTGTGCCCATGTGTACCTGCATGGAGATGGTGGGGGTTGTGAGTAGGCCTCTCTGACATGGCCCAGGGCACCAGAGGCCCCAGTGCTCTTCTCGGGTCTCCTCTCCCCAGGCATGGCATTTGCTCAGAGGACGGGGGGCCCGGCCTGTAGACCCCCAACCCTCCTGCCCTCCAATCTCAGGATTGGTTTTCACACCTAACAGACACTAACCAGGCCAGCACCACCCCCCAGACCCATGAGGGGTCTCAACTCAGAAAAGGGAAGGCTTAGCCCTCTGATGACCCAGCTCCACTCTTCATGCCTCTTCTTCCAAAACGTCTTCTACTTTGAGCTCTTGCTTAACTCCCTTTCTCCCTTTCAAACATGAAGGAAACATCAACCAGAAAAACCCCAGGCCACCTTGGTTGGCAGTAAGCCCTTGAGCTGCTTCTCTGGACATATGCCCTTGTGCCAACTGCTGGCACCTCCTAGGACAAGGCCTGGGGACTAGAGATGTGCACGATCCATGGACTGGGGACAGCGCAGACTGGCCTGAGAGGGCGAAGCAGCGCTGTCCTGCCCGCCTTCCCGAAAAGAGGGATAGTGATAATGCAGCTTCTGAAGGACACAAACAATATAGGCTTTTCCACCCTGTCTCAACAGCCACCCCAGGTTCTCAGGGAAACTCTGTGGACAAGACAATGGAATATTCTAGAAACCATGTAGCACACTCTCCTGTGATGTGGTCTGCTGGTGTGTAGCACATCAGAATTTAAAGGCCATGTTTACTTTGTATCGGCACAGATTCAAGATGGCGTCATGCTAGACGCATCTCTGCTCACAGACCACATGGCCGAGTGCATGACACCACCACTGACCACACCCTGGAAGGTGGCAGCCCTGTGCACCTCTTCAGAGATGTGGTTTACATCAGAGCCCAGATGCCAGGATGCACGCGTGCGCACACACACACATACACACATACACTCACATGCATATAGTCTGCAGACAGAGCACCCACCTGTTTACGGGATGCGTGGGCACGAAGGTGCACACTTATGCACTCACATGTGCACAGGCATCAGGATGAGAGCGCACCTCTGTTCTCAGGATGTGTGCGTGTGAGCATGCATGCACACGAACGTCTGCACAACATAGCACACAGCTGCTCTCAGGTTTATGGGTATAATGATGCACACCACACACCTGTACAACAGAGAGTACACCTGCTCTCAGGGTGTACGAGTGGGAGCCTGCATGCACATGCATGTGCACGTGAGCATGCGCGCACACACACACACACACACACACACACACACACACACACACACATTTCTGCATGACAGAGCACCCATCTGCTGTCAGAATGTGTGGACATGCTTGTGCAAGAACACACCAACGTCTGCATACAATTGCTCCCAGGAGGTGTGGGTGTACAGACCCAAATGTGCACTCACATATATGCACCCACATACATGCACATAGACATCTGCACACGGCTGTTCTCAGGAGATGTGGGTACACGGAACCACATACATGCACATGCACACACTGATGTCTGCACACGGCTGCTCTCAGGTGTGGGTACACGGAACCACATACATGTACACCCACATACATGCACACACTGATATCTGCACACGGCTGCTCTCAAGAGGTGCGCACTCACATACAGGCACCCAGATGTCTGTACACAGCTGCTCCCAGGAGGTGTGGGCACACACATGTACTAGCACACATCCACACTACAACCACACCTGGTTCTCCTCACTCCCTGCCCTCCTCACCGCCACTGCCACCCCGCCTCCCACGCCTGTGCGGTGCACTGTGCCCACCTTGAGGTTCCCCTTGGTGGTGAAAGCTCTCCCACAAATGGTGCAGCCAAAGGGCTTCTCTCCCGTGTGTGTACGTTCGTGGATTTGCAGGGCGCTGGCCGAGGAAAAGGTCTTCCCACAGGACTGACAGTTGTGCTGCTTTGGGGTCCGGCGTGGTGGGGGGGCCAGCAGGGGGGTGACACCAGGGCTCATCACTGTCTGTGGCCCAGCGGGAACCTGGACTCCGGCCGGGAGTGGGGGGCCCTCACCCAGTGAGATGGGCTTGCTGAAGCCATTCACGTCCATCCTGCTCGCGGGCGCCGAGCTGGAGACCAGGCTAGGAGAGCTCTGGCCGGGACCTGGAGCAGAGTTGGGTTCAAACAACCGAGAAGGCAGCTCTTTTAATCTGTGTGTCAGCAAGTGTTGCTTTAAATTACCCAGAGTGGAGCAGCCCCGCCTGCAGAGTGTGCAGACGAAGGGCCGTTCCCTCGTGTGGCTCCGGAAGTGGATGTCCAGCGCGCTCCTGCAAGCGAAAGGCTTTGCGCAGACATCACACACCGTGCCCGCACACTTACCCCGTTCTCTGTTCAGGAACAGCAGGCTAAAGGGGGGCTCCTCCTTGACCACAGGCCGGCCCGGGGTGGTGGCTGTCAGGTCCAGGGCGCCTCCATTCTCAGCAGCCAATGCGGGGCTGTCCGGCTTTTCTGTCTTTAGCGGAACCTCCTGGGGCTCCTCCTGGGTGCTAAGCCCAGGGGACTTGGAGCGGAAGCTCTCGCCATTGCTGTGGGCAGGGGACAGGGCCTGTGTGGAGGACGAGGACTCGGACGTGGCAGGGCTGCCCACACTCTGGCTCTCCAGGTCGCCAGCAGCCGACGATGAGTCGTTGCTCAGGCGGTCACTGTCCCCTGACCCATTCTCCAGGGCCTTGAGGCCAGTCATCTGTGGGCAGCTCATGACAGAGTCCATCATCTTCATCTGGTTCTCTAGGGCGGCGATGCTGGAGATGACTGAGGGTGGGGAGGGCGGGCAGGAGCCAGCGAAGGCCAGCAGGGGCTTGGTGGCATCAACAGATGGGTCCTTCAGCTCAGGGTCCTCCTCCAGGGAGTTGTCGTCCATGTCATCGTCATAGTTGCTCAGAGCATCTGCACTCTTCTCGTCATAGGGTAGCTCGGCGTCCACGGCCTCCTGGAAGCCCTCAGGCAGCGGCGTGTTGGGGATCTGGCCCCCCATGTGCATGCGGATGTGCTGCTGCAGGACCACGGCGTTGGTGAACTTCTTCTGGCAGATGGGGCAGGAGTGCTGCACGCGGAGCGGGGGCTTGGCGCGGTGCACGCCGAAGTGCGTCTTCAGGTTGCCCTTGGTGGTGAAGGCGCGGCCGCAGATCTTGCACTTGAAAGGCCGCTCACCCGTGTGTGTCCGGTAGTGCATCTTGAGGGCACTCTGGCAGCTCAGGACGCGGTGGCAGATGACGCACTGATTGGGATCCGTCATCTTCTTGTCAATGTTCTCCACCAGCTGCTGCAACTTGGACGTTTCCGACGTTTGCATAGAGTCGAGCAGGCCACCAAACGGAAACTTGGCTTTGAACTGGTCAGAGACTGCAGGAAGCACAGGTGTGGAGAGGCCAGGGGACACGCTGCTGTCAGAGGCTGTGGTGGCCACGGGCAGGGGTGTGGTAGTAGTGGCCTGCCCACCAGCCGGGGGCTCCCCAGGCCGGGGGTTTGCAGAAGACAGGCCAAGGGGCTCGGTTTTTGTCAGAGTGGCCACACTGAGGACCGGCTGGGGGGAGTCTGCTGTCACCGTGCCACTGGCCTCGGAACTGTTGAGTCCAGGAGACAAAGAGGTGCAGTCACTGGAGGCAGGCGAGGGCCGCTGTGGGGAGCGGCTAATGGGTGTGAGGCTGGGCGAGTCGGCAAAGCTGGGCGCACTGGGTGGCAGCTGCAGCCCCAGGGAAGTGGGCACTGTGGGCAGCACGGGCTTACTGTCCAGCCAAGTGGTCACGGGCTTCTCAGGAGGCAAGGACATGCCGTAGGGAATGCCAGAGCAGGTGGGCACGTTATCGAGGTACTCGGGCACAGGGTAGGGGTTCATCTGGATGTGGGGGTACTTCTCCTTGTGCCGCTGGAAGTGGACCTTCAGGTTGCCCTTGGTGGAGAAGCGGTTGCCACAGACATTGCACTTGAAGGGCCGCTCCCCCGTGTGTGAGCGCAGGTGGATCTGCAGGGCACTGTCGCTGCCGAATACCTTGGCACAGAACCGACACTTGTGCTTGAAGAAGGGGTCCTCGGAGCTGGCCTTGGGCTCAAACACGGACACATTAGGTGGCTTCCCTTTACGGTGTTTCATGAGGGCTGAGAGGGGGTCCAGCGCGTTGGCTGTAGCGGCGATGCTGACCAGCGGGTTGGGGAAGATGACGCTGCTCGAGGAGGTCTGAGGTAGGAGTGGGTTTGGCAGGCTGGCCGCTGAGGTCAGGAGCGGCCCAGGAACTGGGGCGGGAGGCGTAGGGGTGCCCTGTGGCCGGGCAGAGCCACTGGTCACACTGGACGCAGAGGGTGGGGTCACCGAGGTGGAGACTGTGCCAGAAGTTGCAGGGACACTGGGTTCTGTGGTGGCTGTGGGGCCGCCCCCCAGGCCTCCCGGAGTGCTGACCCCGGACACTGGCTGGGAGAGGAGCGGAGGCCCTTCATAGGCCTGGGGGGCACTGGGGGTGGGTCCCACAGCAACAGGAGCCACCCCAGTGGAGAGCTGGAGGGCAGGGTGAGCGGTGAAGCCCTGGAGCTGGCCAGCGGCCTGCACAGGCGTGCTGGGGGTGGCCGTGGGGGCAGCAGGGTTCAGGGGGGGCCGCAGTGACTGGCGGCTCATCATGGCCACCTGGCTGCGGATCTGCTCGATGAGCTGCAGCTGGTGGATCTGCTGCTGCTGCAGGGCCAGCAGCTGCTCCAGGATCATGGGGATGGCCACTGCCGAGACCCCACCTGCCGGGCCCACGCCGCCTGCTGCTCGTGCGCCCTGTGAGAACTGGGCCACGGCCACCTTCGTGCTCAGCAGTGTCTCCAGCGTCACGTTGGTGCTGGGCATGCTGTAGCTGGCCATGGCCGTGGGCTCGGGGCCTGAGGGCAGCGGGGGCTTGGCAGCGGCTGCAGGGCCTTTGTCCCCAGGGCTGTCCACGTCCATGGGCTCCTCGTCCTTGTCTGAGGCCTTCAGCTCACCGCCCTCGCTGGCCTCCGCTGGGGCAGCCTCCTCTGCCACCTCGCTCTCGGCCTGCTCGCTGCGGGAGCTGGCAGGAGAAGGTTCCGGAAAGTCGTCGTTGGGCGGCGTGGGCTCATCCTCGCCCACGATCAGCACCAGTGGGTTCTTGGTGCAGGTCTTCTTGTGTGCCACGAAGTCTGTCCACTTGAAGAACTCAGCGCAGCACTTCTCACACACGCTTGTCTCCTCGCTCCCGCTCCGGCTCTCATTCCCACTGTCGCCGTCATCAGCACCTTCCCCTGGGCCGGCTGGAAAACCAAGAGATCACGTCAGCCGCTGCCTGCGGATGCCCCCGCCCCCTCAAATTTGGCACATCAGTAAGATCAATATTTTTTATTTCGTACAAATTACCCCACTTCAACCATCCTGATGCCTGGCGCGTGAGTTCTATGACTCTTTCTGGCTAGCTAATCATTTTCTTAGCACAATCCATCAAATTATGAGGCCCTATCAATTGTGGATACTGCTGCTTAATGAAATTCCATAGACGGCATTGATTTCCAATACTTTCATACAACCGCAGCCACCTTGTCGTGGGGACAAGGCAGCCTCCGACGGCTCATTAGGCTCCGCTCCCAGCAACCGTCCTCACCTCCAGCAGAACCGCATGGCCTTTGCCAGTTCACTTAACGTTGCTAAACTAATCTAACCTTCCTCCTGTCTGGGCCCTGCTCCGGGCCTGGCTCCTCCACGGCACAGGCCCTGAGGTTTGCAGGCCACGGGGAGAACTCGGTTCTCCAGAATCTCTTGGATTGATACGTGCTGATCTTCTGCAGGAAATTTCTCTTAAATGCTTCATTTGTAAACTTAACAAAGAAAGCAAGCAGACATTTTCCCTCAGAAAACAATCTCGGGCTGCCGAGGGGTGCGGCTGATGCCGTGTCTCCCGACTCGGCCCTTGGAACCACAGCTTTCTACCTTATGATTTGCAAAATGACTATCAATACAGCCTGGGCCTGCAATTGATATGGTCTGATAGAGCGAATTGGCTCTGTCAGATGTAATATTTCTTGACAAAATGAACTGAAATTATATGTTATTGCGATTAGCCAATAGGGTTCAGTGTTTTGTCCACAAACTAGAAATTATGTATTTAAAGTCCATTTATGTTGACTTGTTTAACATGAGAATGTTGTTGTCTCAGACACACTTTTTGTACCTATTTTCATCCATTCTCATAGAAAGACTTAGCAAATTATATGCTTGTGCCATCGTAGAAACCTCGCTAATTGGTTACACATGTTTAATTACTAGTGTGAGCGCTGACTTCCTCCGACTCTCGTTACCCTCTTGTGCCGAATAACAACCATGTTTAATGAACAATTCTAATTCACACCTGATCAAATAAATCGCTACACGGCCAGTTATTGCCGGGAGCAGCAGCTTCCCGTTCCCAGGACTGGGTGTAAGGTCACTCAGGATGCACATGGTGTCCTGGACATGGCTACTGGCCATTGCTTTTTGTCCACTAGCAGAAAGAGTGACACCAGCAATTCAAATGAGGGTGGCAGGCCAGCTGCAGTCCGTTCTCTGCAGAACACACAGAGCCCAGAGCAACAGGAAAACACCTTCACACTCTGGGGCTACACAAAGGTTTCTGGGACAATCACCAATAGATAGATCTGAGGGCAAAGTCTCTGAATTTTGCACTGATTTCTTTTTAGTAAAGAAACATGATTTTGAAGAAACATCCTTTGATAAAACACACACAGTTCCTTTCCTGGGGGGGGGGCAGAAAACCCACGCTAACTTTTTTTTGTTTTTTGTTTTTTTTTTTAAAAAAAAGCTCGCCTACTGCTTTGCATGAGGTTGTTAGCTTGGGCGATTCGTACATGCCCTTAAACATTATTAGCAGCATGCAATTAGCACTGTCCTAACTGGCTCACACATTTGGAGGGGAAAGAAGTTGGAGCCTGCAAGCCATAAAGACCCGTTAGACTTTTAAACTAAATTCAGAGCCAAAGTCGGCCCGCTCCAGTCTCATTACTGTACGGAGGAGAGACTGACTGTAATAGGGATTTGTAATGAGGTTGAGCATAGCTGGGAGCAAAGACATCGCTGATTTATGCTGCACAGGCACATTAGCAAAAGAAACACCCAGACTACTTAACTTTGCCCAATGTATGCAAAATCTCATTTTAAACCTGCTAAGGTTATGGAACAGAAACACAGAAACCCCCACCCAGCACTAAAAACTTCAGACAGAACTTCTTCAGGGCTGGGGATTTAAGGGTTCTCTCAAATTCTAGTCAGATGTTCTGACAGTGGTCACAAGAAGCCAAGATTCCCTCCTTCATGATGTCTTTTATAACACCAGTGGAATGTTCTCCACACCCAATTCAGGAGCAAAAGCCAAAAGGCCACTACGGAAAACACCTGGGGCCATGGTGTTGCTCCGGTATATCTGTGCTCACCAAAGCCAGCACAGACCAGAGTGCTCCAGAGCTGCACAACTAACGCCCAAAAGGCCTGTGGATAATCGTCAGAAAGATTTTTATTTGAATGCTTCTTGAAAAGGCAAGTGCCGTACAAGAAGCAAAATATTTCCTACTTCCTGAAGCACCTTCTACCTTAACTCTTCAGAGGGAATAAGTTTTTCAATTCCTATGGTCTATCAACTTTAAATTGCACAAGACTGGCCCATTTAAATCCTCTTAGAAGAATACTTTTTCTCCTGTGAGGCTCTATCAAGCACAGACCACTGAGATATGCTTACAAAGGAGAGTGAGTTCTGCAACATTTAGAAAGTATTTATAAGATTATAAGATTTGAAGAATGAACCTACACATAAATAAGTGCTCTTTAGAAAAGGAGGCTGTGCTTTTTGTCTTTGTCACAAAGGAAACAGACCGGTTTACACTGGGCTTTTCTGAAGGTCTCCCTTTGCCTTAAAGCTCTGAGTTTTACAGTCCTATTAGTTTTTCAGGTATTAAGTATTTTCAGGGTTCGCTTCAAAACTCGATGAAAGTGTAGGTTCCCACAGGTAATTTCCTTTTTCCCATTGGCCGGTTTGTGAAATTACTACTAATTACTTCTCATTTGAAGGAGCTGTGCACAGGACAAGTAAGGACGCTTTGCCAAATAATTGAAGTTTTCTTTAATGCAACTGTTAATCATAGTTACCCAAATATAATGAAGAAATTCTTCTCAAAGTAAAACATTCCCCTATTCATATTCCTTCAGTATTGAAGAAGGGGAGAAGCTTTACATTTTAAAACAGCCTGGTGACCATTTGGGTCTTGCCAAATAATTAAAGTTGTTTTGTTTAATGTAACTGTTAATTAGTTACCTAAATATAATGAAGATATCCCTTTCAAAATAAAACACTTTCCTATTCATATTCCTTCAGCATGGAAAAAATGGAGGCTTTGCACTTTCAAATAGCATGGCGACCATTTGGGCCAAAGAACTGAAGTTGTTTTGTTTAATGCAATTGTTAATCACAGTCACCTAAACATAACGAAGATATTCTTCTCAAAGTGAAACACTCCCTTATCCATATTCCCTCAGAATGTAACAGGGAGAGGTTTTACATTTTAAAATAGGCTGGTGACCATTTGGGCTTGCTAACAATAATTATGTTAACCAACTTAGCAAAACAGATAGTCCTTAGATTTTATAAGCAAAGCTTCAGGATGAATTTGACTTTTGTCTCAAATATGTTTTAGAAACCACAGTTGACGGAGGAGGCATTTTCTTGCATACACTTCAGAATCTTTATTTTGAGCAATAATCTGTGATCAAGGTTTCTAATTTTTTTTCCTTAAGACTTATATAAAATGTCAACAGCATGATCGTATAAACTGCTATTTCCACATGGTCAAACTATCAGTGGATGTGACTGGCATTCCAAAAACAGGTTTTTTGATAATCACACATTTGATAAGATAGCCTTGGATACGATAGTGGGGACAAAGTAAAAAGTCTAGTTTTTTCGCATATGAACTTGAGATCTGGTTTGCATAACTTTAAGAACATTAGTAAACAGTAATAAAGTGCCCTTCAGCTGAGCTGATTGGTAGGATCTAAAATGAGTGCGTTTTGTGTTTTGCAGGGAGAAAGAGGGCCTCAGAGAAGAGCAGGCCAGCCAGCAGACCCGACAGAACAGGAGAACCGACAGGCAGCAGAGCAGAGCTAGTGAGATGACTGCTCCTCCACGGAGCTCCTGCCCACGGGAAGATGCCAAGTCTGGAATTATCACTATTATTTGTAAAATTCTGTTTAAGTGAAAATCCGACTGTGGCTCCCAATTTCATCATATAAGTTCCAAAGCTTGGTCATTCGTACCACAGTGATAAGTCAATATTATGTCAGATTCAATTGTATTTAACCATCTTTGAATTACATTTACATTTTGAACTGGCCTTTAATACACCCATCAGGTAAATGGCTCAAATGTTTAGTTCCACAAGTCACGTCAGTGAGGAACTACAGTGGGCATTTATCTTCAGTGTAATCTTAATTTTCTTCCTCTCTTTCTTGGGGGGGGTATTTAAAAACGCGCACTGTAAGCATTACCATTAATGTCAAAGTAATTTATTTTTGCACACTGACTCCAACAACTAAAATCTGGAAATGCAAATGGACACGGGTTTAGACCGGAAGCCCAGCACAGGAGGGCTGTCTCAGCATAAGTAAGAGTGGCACTAGCAGCAGCAGCTCACCTGGTCAGAGAGAGCTTCCATAATCCTTCCTTCTCAGATACTAGCAACACGCAAATCCAGCCTTTCCAGAAATCAAGTCCTTGGGTGCTAACAGGAAGGAGGCTGCTGTCCTGGGACTACCTCTACATCAACTCTGTGCTCAAACTCTCAATACCAGCATCAATACTCCATCTGCACTCAGTATTGTCTCTTTCTTGAAATGTAGTCAGGAGGAGAGAAAAAGAAGCGGCTGGAAACCACAGGGTTCTCTTTGCTTAAGGAGATGCAGGCAATTAGTCGACACAGCAGAACCTGTGACTGGGAGACGCTCCCCAGCTCCAGGCGCCCCTGCTCCACTCACTCCGGAGAGTCCTACTTACCCTGGAACGAGTTCTAGGCCTTTCTCAGCTCTTCTTCCTGAATGGGGGGCTGGGGGTGGTGGTTATACCTTTCACCAGAAACCTGACAACAGGGCAGCTTCAAAGAGGATATTTTTTAAAAACACTGATTTTTTTTCTTCTCCTTCTCACTCACAAAAATGACAAAAAATAATTAACAAACTGTTACTATTTCCATTCCAGAGAATCTGCACTCTTGGTGTGAAA